CCCCCCCCCCCCCCCCAAACGTGTATTTTTGGCACGCCCGCGTTTTCAATCATCTCTACTAACCGAGAGCCTGGAAGCTCAGTTTAAGCGGCTACATACCTCAGTTGAGAAAGCATGTAAAGTCATGACTTGTTTGCTGCTTCTTTGCAATTGCCTAAATCGTATTCACAACTGGGATAATCATTACTTCGGTTGAGACTCAATCCGGAGTCCATAGATGGTAAGTAGTCGTTTCGCCCGATAGGATTCGCCCAGACTTTAAGTCTGTTCGCCCGGGCTGAAAGTTCAATGAAGGACGTATTAAATTCGTTCTTTTAACTAAGCGAGCGAAAAGGACAATATTGTGGGCATTATGAAACAAAATTGTACAAAACATGTTTATTTGTCGTTCTTTGATCCATTGACCAAAGATCTAACAGTCCGGGCGAAATGGCATCAGGAGAACTGGCTAACCCCAATTCCCACAGATGATTCCATTCATTCATATCACTGATTAGTGAAACCTAGCTATCACCTTCTTAAAGCACTTATTAATAGCCCTTTTTTATAGGTAAATTGGTAACAAAGGATTTCGAAAATTAGGTTGCCGCGGAAAGCGTACGCGGCAATGCCGAGTGGTATTATGGGTAGTATTAGTTTGACGTTGCATGAATGAGGTTCACCTTCCCTCAGCAAGGAGGAAGGAAAAAACATTAACAACCTATCTTGAAACAGCTGTATAATTTCTGCGAATCCGTTTAGCAAATTAACCAATTCAATTTTCCTTAGGTCCGCACTTATGACAAATTACGTACTTTGGATAGTTTCCTGGAGCATTTGGAGAAGCGAAAGCCTTTACCCAAAACAGAGAAAGTTGGACTCTACAGCATAGAAACTCTGGAATTATGAAATGATACATCTGTGTAGTAAAGGCAGGGTACTTCTCTTTGTTCCTTATGTCAATTGGCTTCGTTTGAAGATTGGGCACGAGAAACCGAAGATTATTGTACATTTATGTGGCTGCTATCCGTTCGACGTTGGAACAATTATGAAAGAGATGTATGGAGTTAGCGCTCATGATGGCAGATTGCTGTACACATTGCTGTGCTTGGAGCAACTGTTATAGAGCACGTGTTAGCACAACCTTCAGTTCCACTCTACTTGTGATAGCTAGATGATGGCTTCGGTGCCGGTTGACAAAAAAAGCGCGAAACGAAGACAACGCTTTTGAGCATACAAATGGTCTCTCGCCAGAAAAGAAAATTTTCACGTCATATTTTCCATGATTAACATTTTCACACGAGCCCACGAGACATTGTGACATGGGAAAGAAACCCATTATTGATGTTGTCTGCGAAGTTTTGGAAGAATTAAGGTACTTTAATGAATGTAAATAGTATCCTGAAGAAGTCTGCTCATTGCAGCACCTTAAATTCTCGATAGTGTTGTTTGTATAGCTTTTTCAGAAAATATCCTCCAAGCATACTTGTACTTCGGAGTACAGTACTACTATAGAGTACGTAATGAATCGGGACAAGTGTTCCACACAGCTGCTTTATCAGAACTAAACAAAACTAATCTATGTATAATAATATAATGGTATAATCACGTGATTGCGGTTAGGGTGTACAAAACAATGGTTACAGATTATCTAACAAATAAGGTATTCATAAAATAGGAACAAACGCTACACAGGTCAAACGTCAAACTTTACATAAGACGAACTAAATTGCAATTTGAGTCGATCCAAACGGGTAAAGCTCGACCATTGGGTCGAACGTTGCTTAATTCGAGTTTCGATCGATCAACGCGTTCCATCCGTCTGCTTTTAAATTCAGTAGGACGAACTCGGTTGAGTCAAACGTCGAGCTTATCACGAACTGATTTCGCTAAGTTTAAAACGTCTCGTGTGACCATTCCGAGGGCGGAAGAAGGCTGGGTGCATGACGTGCGTGGTCATGGCCCGCGGCGTGCGCGGCGCTCGTGCGTGCGTGCGTGGTCATGGCTCACAGCGTGCATGGTCTGGCGCTCGTCAAGGAGAGTACAGTTATGGCCTAGGCTGGTCTGATGTACTGTGTGGAGGTCTGAGGGTGAAAGGCTGATATTTTCCTCTATTTTCCGATCTATTTTCCTTATTTACTGGCGGAAGTAAATAGAAGCCAATATCCACGTTCGGGTGCAATTCGTTTCTGCAAGAAAGACATTCAAGAAAAAGGTTGACTTCGAAAGGTATGGGTAGGAGATCCATATGGGCTCGAGGTAAGCAGTGCGGGTGAGTATGTAACCAGAGCGAGCGGCTGATAAATTGGGGAGAAATGCTTGTTTATTCTTTTAATGACTTCTAAAAGTCAAAACCTAAAAGACAACTTTTCGTTCAAAAAAAGCTTCAATGTAATGGTCCAGTTTTGTTATAAACAACTCTTTAAATACTCCTGAAGCTAGGAAAGAATTAACGGATTGCTCATGCACAAGGTAATGTGAATTGAGAATGTCTGGCTTTTTCAAATGCTGTCGTCCTGTTTTGGAAAAATGGCTGATAAAGAATTACAATTATTTTGCTCTCTCCTTCCAAGAATTCATTATCATCTTGAATGTCCATGAGCATTTCGTGTTTGAACAAAAATACTCGTAACTCAAGCACTGCCTTGTAAAATTTAGCAGAGAGTCGAAAGACAGTGAGGAAGAGAAGAAAACGCCACCGAGAGGAGAAAGGAGGATACAAATTTACCGTTTCAAGCCGGGGGCTACCTAACTCATGTCTGGGTAAAGGGGTGCCTCTGAGGGTTCGAAATCCTGACCATGTTTAGGTTAAAAATTCTCTTAAAATCCTTCCCTGTTTAGGACAACACACTTTTTTAAGACCCTGACAAGAGACAAAATACACACTCACTTTCTTGGTGCTTCCGCACCAGACCCCTCCCGCCGGGCTGACTCGCTCTTCGTCGCTCGCGCGATGAGCCGTACAGATCGTGTAACCTGTTTAGGATAAGTTCTGGCCCGGTTAGCCCGGTCTAGCACAGAGGCGAGCAAAATTGTATACCCTGTTCAGGACAGCGAGGCCAAAAAACCATACCCTGTCTAGTGGCATGGCACGTCCCCGTCCGCGCGTATAAACCAAATAAGGAAGTACCCCCCTACCCCAGGGAGCGTCACTTGGTTAAAGAAGGTAGGTTAAAAAGACTTGAATAATTTACAAGTGAGATGCCTGGAGGGTTGTAAAGTAACTGAACTTATTCACAGGGGGCGTTAGGAGTGGGAAAAATTCCGCGTTGGCTGGTTTCGTGGCAATTTCAGCGGCAGGAATAGTGTGCCTGAATGTATCATGTACCAGCAGAACTATTTCTAAAATTCCGCGTATTTGAGGAATTTTAAACATTCCCGCGTACTTTTGCGCGGGAAGGATGTGATGACGTCACTTATTATGGTAATGTATGTGAACTCGATTCCTTGGCGATCTAAATGCTGTAATTGAACCAGAGCAAAGAATAACGTCGAGTGGTGTTTATATGTATTCTTGCAGGGACTAGAGAAATATCACCGGTCATACCGGAACTCCATTTTGGGGTTGATCTGTGACATCAGTAGCGATGTCCTACTTGCAAAATGGGCCAAAACGTCCGGCGAGCGATAATTTTGACGTGGCTTGTAAGGTACGTTTGGTCAGGTTCTCTAAGCGTGCAGTACAAATCTTTCACGGCAAATAAGACTGGTTATCGTTTTGCCCTCGTGGTAATGTTTTAATACATCTAGTTGTTCTCCTTAGACTTCATGACTTAGAATGAATATTCGACGCCTCGCGCAGTTATCTCGTGGTTGGTTGGTTCCATCGCCCGAATCATCCGCAATGCAAATGGCTTTAGCTTGTGAACTGTTTGTTTGCCCAGCTGATTGTTTTGTGACCGCTGCAAAGTTTTGAGAACTAGTGATGTTGAAAAACTTTCTCTTCTGCGATCAAAATGACTCAGTTGCTATTTTAAAAGCAGTTTAATATCCAGTGCCGTGTGTTTTAATTTGTGGACAGCTTGAATAAAGCTTACTCGCAGTTTTGAACTTGTTAATTTTTCTCGCAGGTTATGTTGCTTGGAGATTCCGGTGTGGGCAAAACATGTGTGCTTGTCAGGTTCAAAGATGGTGCTTTCTTGTCCGGCTCTTTTATTTCTACAGTAGGGATCGATTATAAGGTTAGATGAGGAATTAAACTTTCAAAACGGAACAGTTTTCCCTGCATTCAATCCCAGCTGGATATTTGCATTTGGAATTTTACTCCGTTCTCTGCATTTGCATGTCTCGATGTGCGTATTTAAAGATCAGGTCTGTTTTTCCCTTCTTGTAGAATAAAATCGTTGAAGTCGATGGCACGAAAGTAAAATTGCAGGTAACAGTGTTCTGTATGTATAGCAACACTTGTAAGCTTGGGAAATTTTTAATTTCGCCTTTCTCGATTTTCTTTAGACAGAATGTTGAAATTTTTATATTGTTTATTTTTCCGCCCTGTCTGAAAATAATCTTTCCTAATTGAAATATGTCATAAATGTGAGAAACAGAAGAATAAAATAGAAGTCGTAAGTTCTCGGTTATCAGCATCCAATTAAGACAGATGTCAACAAGCTTGAACATTTTAGCCCACAATGAATATAAAATGTTGTCATAATGATTGAACACTCAAGCTTGTGCATACTTTTACAATAAGAGAAATTCTTAAACCATGAAAGTATGGAAAAAAAAAAATCATTCCATTGTAAAGTTCAATTGACTAAAACCATAAATCCCTATCGTTCAGGTTTATGCCCTAGGGCAGTATGGGCAGTAATGGAGACTATGAATTTCTTTTTGTGTTTCATATTAAACAGAAGTAAACAGCGACTAAGGGCCTCCACAGATTAGGCATTTAGTTGTCAACAACTATTTGTTATCGACAACTAGATGTTATTAAATTTGACAGCTAATTGTGTGATGTAATTTTCAAATATCGCAGTTATTGTCAAGGTATAGGAGAGTCTGCAATGGCTTAGGTGGCCCACATAACCAGAGCTTACTCCTGTTTTTGTGACACTAAGTGACTAGGGGTATTTCTACTCTCCCCTGGATGGGACGCTAGGCAATAAATTAGTCGGTACCCATTTATACACCTGGTTGAAGAGAAGGCACTGTGAGAGTAGTCTTGCTCAAGGACACAATTAATGCAGTGACCCCAGAGGCTCAAACTTGGACTGTTTATTTTGGGGTCCAGTGCGTTTACCATTACGCCACTGTGCCTCCATTATTATTAAGTATAAATCCTTAACTGTTCGAGCTTTCTTAGGATTACGTATTTATTATATGACTGAGAAAATTATGAATGCACCTACGTTCACTTGCATTTAGTTTATCGGAACATCTTTACCAACTGCCATATTTGGGAGTTTACTTGATGGTTCATTTTCTTTTACTTTGATATTGATAGATTTGGGACACTGCTGGACAAGAGAGGTTCCGTAGCATAACTCATGCTTACTACAGAGACTCACAAGGTAATGAGTAACAATATATCGCTTCATTTTATTCTCTTCATACATATCTAAGATTAATCTAAAGCTACATTTTGTATATATATAGTAGATTGTGTGGTATTTTTACGAATAAATAAATAGCAGGTACAATTGACATCTATTTTTTTATGGCTAGCAATAGGTGTACTGAGTGGGGGATGGGGGGCTGCAGCCCCCATTTTCAAAAATTTTTGAAATTTTTTGGGCAAAACACTGATGATTCGGGCAAAAGTACACAGGAGGAAACATTCCATAAGGTAGTCAAGACCAGGTTTGTGGGCTACTTTCTCTGATGTTTGCGTCGTTAAAGCTGAGTTAAGGTCAATTGATTTAAGGATCCAGTTATTCTGTTTTGGAAAAGCCATATATCATTTAAATGTGTTTCGTGGTAATCTAGGGGATGGATATTATTTCCATCAACAAAACAATGACAAAAGAATCAAAGCAAACAAAGACCAAGACTTTTGTTTTTGTGGTGGCTCTGAGAAGAGCCGTTTTGAATGGCTCCACAAGGAGCCGTTTCAAAATGTTCTTGAACTTTTCATACGAGGAAGAATTAACTGTTTGTTTGATAAGTTTCTGATTTTACTAGACTGTCGATTGAACTCAAAGTCATAGAGTATGCAAGGTTTCAAAAACACTATTTTTGGAATGTTAACAGTTTAATTAGATGCGAGAATTGTGAACATTTTTGTTTTTACTGTGATTTGAGTGCGTTTGAACAACACTCACGCATTCGCGCATTGTGTAATTTTTTTGCGGGAAATAAGGTCACCGCAACCCCCCAAGGTTGGAGGTGCCCGTACACCAATGTGGCTAACATGTAAACTATTAAGGCCAGAACAAGCTAGAGATATGTGAATTAATACCTGAGGGTTAAGTAAGAGTTTGCTTTTGTTTTCATTGACTTTCATTATACCAGGGAATTGTGATGTACCCTTGGGCGCTCTCACAGTGCCCCTCTCTACCCATAAATGTAGAAAAATTCTGGGAAACTGTTAGAAAACCTTTAATTAAATACAGAAGGGTTGGGATGGACTAACTTCCCACCCAAGGGAGTAGCAATACTTCAGAAAGACAGTGCTTTAGTGTCCCATATGTGAAGTCGTTTATCATTGTTTGGCAAACACACACAAGTAGCCATAGGGTAACCTGAAAACACTGACCCCCAGTCTGAGGACCCCCACTCCACGGACCAGGTCTGCGGATTACCCTACGGACTTGTCCATAGGCTACCCCTCTGGTTCCCCTCCACACACCACCCCAAAATAGAATAAAATAATAGATAAAGATTTCACTTATGGTTTGTCTTATAGAGTACTTGTGTCAGTGAAATTTCAAGCATTACGCCGTGCAAATGTAACAGACTTGGCTTTTAAAACCCCCAAGATAATGTCTAAAAGCTGTTTTCAGCATAAGGAGATGCTGATGGCAAAAAGAAGGAAAGTTCTTACCTTCCATTCATGGCTTAATCTGGCTATGGAAGATGTGTTTTTAGGTCGTTTAAGCTTCTTTGTTCACTTGTTTGTATATGTCATTGCACTGGACAAATTGTGAAACCTGGAACGAGAGAGATGAACCCACCGGAGAATGGGCTGAACTAAATGGCGGAGGGAAAGGAGCACAAATTTCAAGGCTTCATGGAGGCTTCCTGGTGTTTCATATATAGCCACAGCAAAGGAAATGGCAATGTGTAATGATATAATTTGTGCCTGACCCTGAACCCAAGTCTGTTACATTTGCACAATGCAACATTTGAAATTTCACCGACACTAGTAATCCATTAGACAACCCATAAGTGTCATCTTTATTTATTATTTTTATTCCATTTTGGGGGTGGTCCATAGGGGGTGTCCATAGGGGTAGTATGTGAACAGGTCTATAGGGTAGTCCACAATCCTGGTCCATAGTGGGGGTCCGCAGAACAAGGGTCAGTGTTTTCAAGTAACCCATAGCCAAAATTAATCCATTGTTACTCTGTGATTAACAAAATAAAACTCCAGTTAGCTTAGACAGCACACCATAGCGTCAGTTAACCTGAATAGTGCTCCACTTAGCCTGAATAGCATTATTAACTGTAAAATGTTGTTTGATACAATTCTAGCACTCTTGTTGCTTTATGATGTTACAAGTGAAAGTTCCTTTGAGAATATTAGGGTAAGTTGGTAGCTAAAGGTAAAGGTAAAGATAAAGGTAAACTCTATTTAGCCAGGGTGGTCCATTCATCGATGAAGCTGATTTCCAGAGGGGCCCTGAACTAAAAATATAATAATTAAAAATACAAGATAAAATTTAAAAAATACAAGCTCTTGTATACATGCCATCAATCCTAAAATATATATACCAACCCATGTCAGGTATAGAATGTTGGTACACCCTGTACAATACCATGCCTTCACTGAATCTTTGCTTTTCTGCTAGAAAGGCTCCCACCCCTATCAATAAGCCATATGCCCCACCCCCCTGTGCACCATTTTCCATGCCCTTTAAAAGGTGACATTTGCAACTTTCCATTTATTTTAGTTAACTGCACACTTTTGCTCGAATAGTTATATAATTATTTGTTGTGTGTTGGATGTGTCAGTGTGAAGCAACAGTTTTCTGACTTTTTGATTAAAAGAAAACTTGCCACTACTATAAGCCTCGTGAAGTGTTAGCCAGAGTAGTGTGTTTTGGACCTGTAATAGAAGTAATACTTTGAGTTTAGGATAAGTGGGGCTTTTATTTTTTGTTAGAACAAAAAATGTCATCTGTATTATCTAACACTTTTTTGTGTTCTGATAGGCTTGGTTAGCCGAAATCTACGAGTATGCATCATCAGATGTCATAATAATGTTGTTAGGGAATAAGGTAACAAAGTAGTCATAAATTAGAATCTATAGCCCGATATTGTTTCATAAACAAATACATATTACTTCATATAATATATGAAGACATGACTGATCATCGCAGTTATACACACAACTTAAGCAGTTGTGAAATTAAAGCCTGAAAAAAATTCAGGCCTGAACAGGATTCGAACCCATGACCTCTGCGATACCGGTGCAGTGCTCTACCAACTGAGCTATCAAGCCAACTGGGAGCTGGTCACATCATGAGTTTGTAATATACCTGTACATGATACGAAGGAATATAAATGTAATTACTAATAATATAATTATTAAATGAAATTGGGTTGTAAGTTGTCCTGCTGAAATCATCCCCGTCAGGTTTCTCCTTTCATTCATTTATTCAGCATTCACATATGTCTATTTGTTGGTTTATTTATTTGTTTCATCACTCATTCTTTTGTTTATTTGTTTGTTTGTTCCCTGGGAGGGGGTACTCCTAGAAAAATTGGGTGGGGGTGTGCGGCCCCCTTCCCAAAACCTTTACCCTATTTATGACCAAAATCTGCGACATTCCCTACCGTATTTATGACCTGACCAGAAAATTTGAAACCCTATTTATGGCCCGACCCTTATATCAAAAACCTGTTTCAGACCTGCGTTATAATTAGTTCCCCAGTTCAGACCAATGTTAAATTACCATAAACATAATTTGGGAAGGGCTTTTGTTGATTTTCTTTTTGCTGATGATGAAAAAGTGGTTTCTTCTTAAAAACATACCCATATCAAGGCTAGAGTGCAAAAACCATACCCTATTTATGACCAAAATGGCCAAAATCAGCTAAAATCGATGCCNTTTTGATGATAATGGTTTTACAGTGCTATCAGGCCACTGCATCATTGTTCCTTGTACATGTACTTTTTTGTGGAATTTAACAGAAATCATATTGTCTTTAAGATTGTCTTGAGGAAACATTACCATCTATATTTATGTACTCTTTGTGCTGATCTGACCTGACCTTATCAAATTTCCTCCTCCAAAAAAGGCTTGAAAATTCATGTAAATAAACTAATTAAGATTTATGATTTTTTTAAAATCATTCAACAATAAATAGTTGTCTTTTACAGGATCATAATGTAGCATTTATGGAAACAAGTGCCCGGACTGGGTTGAATGTTGATTTAGCTTTCATGGCTGTTGCCAGGTAACACACTGATATATCAAGTCAGTTACATCTACATAACAATATTATTTATTTTTCAAGGTACTTACCATTAATGTACTGAGCTGATCTGGGTACCATATAATTCTTAGGTTTTGCTCGTAAACTGCAATCAAAGCAGGCTGCTCAATTGGCTGTATGGGCATCCTGTCAATGCCTTCCTTTTTAGTGCAGAGTGCACTATTGGGATGGTTATGGGGGTTGCCTGCCGCTAAGGAACTAAGGCGCTATGGCGCTATGGCGCTATGGCGCTANTTTTTTGAGCAACTGCACATGCACTGCATTTAACTGGGTTCTTTCAGTAATGAAGAAAAAGCTGAGAATAGGCACTTTGTACGATCCGGTCACATGGTACAAAATCACACATGCTGGTGCGCGAGTTGCACAGTGGGACTTCCAAAACAAAGGCAGGTCCAGGTGGACTGGTACGAGTTGCATTGTTTTGAAAGTCCTGCTGTGCAACTTGCACACCAGCATGTGTGATTTTATACCATGTGACCGGATCGTGCAAAGGGCTTATTGCTGAGATCTTTGCATTGTTTATTACCTTTTCTAATATGTCTTTGTGATAAAAGACTAAAGCCATCAATACACTGCGTTCAAATATAGAGAAAAATAGCACAGATAGTGCGGGTGTTGAGTAAATAAAATGATCGCTGGATCACTCTATTTACAGCATATTTGTTTCTTCCAATCCTTGTGCGTGCGCTGAATTGCATCAGCAAAAGCACGTGCGAAAACTGTGTTTGGCCACCTTAAAAATACACCTAATGCTTTTGGAAATGTTGTCTGTAGGGATATTCCCCCAGACCCACCCAGGAGGTTGGGCCTCAGTCTTGGTAACAACATTTTAGATGCCTGCTTTAAATTTTCAAATTTTGTGTAGAAACCTGAATCAGATAATATACAAATTATCCACAACTGCTAATGTGTATATATCAATCATTATTTTCCAGTTCTGATAACTCTATTGTTTTGCTATTTTAATTTTGTCTTTTCATGAAATTTTCTCACCAAGCTAAGCAACAGAGCTTTTTATGACTTTATTAATTTGTCACTATTACCATTTTTCTACTTGTTATAAATTTTACTTCCAACACTTTGTACATCAATCAACTGAGGATGACAGGAGAATCTGTCGAAACATGTCTTTGAAACTTTAAATTTTTCTTGTTTTCTTTAAATTAATGAATTTTACTTGTAATTTCTTATCAGGGATATAAAACACAGAAACCTCAAGAAACCTACAGAACCAAGGTTCAACATTGAACAGTATGTTGAGTCACAAAGAGAAAAACCGGGTTGCTGTTCTTGACATTGACAAGAAATCAAGGATACAAGACAAGAATCAAGGGTACAAAATGAAAAAAATATGAATGACATAAGTTAGCTAGGAATAAACAGTGGAAGTAGCAACAGACTTAGTTAACTTGACCTCACTTTATTCTAACTTTTCTTTACCAAAAAATGTTAACCCTTTATAATTATTTCAACAAATGGCCAACATCTGATTTCTAGTTACATGTACATTCATTTGCCAAGACTTATGACAACTGAATTGATCGAGCAAGAAACAAAATCTGCAAACTAGTTTTCCGGTGCTGTCAAAAATTAAGCCATTGCTACTGTCCTGATATCCTAGCTGTGATGCGAAGTCACTGACCTGATATGGTCACAATATAATAGTCACTTGGCCAAACTTGGGTGCAGTAAATATACCTAATAGTACATTTTTGGTATACTTCAGCATCATATCAGGCTTGGTTGGTCTCACTGTAGGTATTTTGGCATGACTACAACTCACCAAAATACAAATCATGACTCAACAGATCTCTCCTGATATGCCATTGAAGCATGTCAGAAAGGTACAAGTTGGTATAACTACCAATCAATTTCTGAGAACCAATATTCAAATAGTGAGATCATGTGTTAAGTGAAGGCATCTGCAGTCGAGTGTCAATTGATACCCTCAATAGACATCTCGCTTGGTACTCGATAGACATCCTGATCGATACTCGGTCGATGTTCAATTGATTTTTGATCAACAGTTGGTCTATAGTCAGCCAAGTGTCGACTGACTCATATGTATGGATCGAAAATTAGTTGACTGTCAACCGAGGTGTTGGTAGAGTGCCGACTGAGTACCAATCAAGATTTTGATCAGGGGATTGATTGAAGGTATTGATCGACACTCTACTGCAGATGCCTTTGTACACATGATCCAAATAACCAGTAAAAGGAATGATGATGCTGAAGTTGGAAGTGAAAGGGTAAGAATAAAATTGAAGTACTGGTGTTAAAAGAAACCAGCTGAGTTGGTCAACTAGAACAAAGGCATGGAGCAAAATGCATTAAAACCTCTTTATTAGATTAGTATTATTAATAATTGGACCTTGGTAATGTACTAAACTATTCAGAATTTAAAATAAGACTTAGTCCATAATTTAGCATTTTTCTGCTGATTGGTCAGGAAGGTTACATTTGATGAAAGTTTAATGTTGTGGATTGAATGCAAAGAAGAAGTTGTTCTAGTTTTTATCTTGCCATGTGAACATCTTGGCTCAATTCCTCAGGAACTATGTCCCCTTGATTGGGTTCAAAGCTGCTAATAGCAGTTCTGAACTGCTAATGAGCTGTTATCAGCATATAATCTATAGGTAGGATGAGGCCCTAAATGGTAGAAATTGGCAAAATAGTAGAAATTGGCAACAGTGATATTGCAAGTTGTGTATTTTTAAACTTGTTACTTGTCAATTTTCACCCTGGTATGGTTTCACGATGTACATGTACATCTAAGTGCACTACAAGCTTTAGAATCTATCATTATCTATTAATGGCTTAATGAGAACTACTTACTGTGAAATATTCTTTATTTATTAATAGTTTTCCAATATTTTATTTACTGCAAATGTTTGGGAACTAGCTCTTTAATAAAGGTGTAATTTGATTCTTAGCATTGATAAAACAGCTGCCAACTGGCAAATGTAAGTGATGTAATATGTAGTGATGGTTCAGTCGTAGTTTGCGACATCCTCAAGATACTTGCACCATAGTATCAAACTTTTCTTTGGTTATTAATGGCTCAGTTATGAGTAACCTGACATGTATTTAAAAAATAGTATTTGAATTTATTACAAATGCTACAAAAAGGAAGTAATACACAATGTAGATTAACATATTTCACCCAGAAAGGTTTTGCACGAACACAAAACTTGTTAGGGTCTTGGTTGTTTAAAATTTGCAAATGCTTTTGTAGATAAATTGAAATTGTGACGCTTAATATTGAATATTTCTGAATTATGCTTAATGCTAATGTTAGGCAATGAATGTCACACCCCAGAGGGTACTTAAGGTGAAAAGTGACAGGGTTTTTTTTTTGTTTCACCCCTACCAAAAGCATAATGTTATCACTAATTATATACCCCAAAAAATTGTTTACACTTGCTGCTCACTTTTGTCCTCAGGTACCCTTACTGGTGGTAGTGGTCCCTTGGGGACACCAAATTAAAGGACAAAATTTCAAATCAAATCCAGAATATTAAATATTTGTGTAAGCTGATGCTAAGTAGATTGTAAACATTATTGTAAGTAAATTCATCTTGGGAGAGGGTAGAAAATAGTGTTGGTAGAATACTTTGTAAAGAAATACATAGGCCTTTCAAATGTAATTTGTTAACATAAAGTATTTTTCCAAGATGAAAGCCAATTTTGTAAAACTTGTTTCATTAGTTGTTTGATAGGTCTGTAATGTAACTTTTTAGTCAATGTATTAATCGTCCAAAATAAATCCGTAATCATTTGTTTAATTAAACAAAGCAAGAGACCAAATCTCTTGAACAAACTAAATCCTACTGGAACGGTGTTTGATTTCTGATCAGCATTATTTCGCTGCTTCACCTTAGTTTTCGCTTTGATTGAGGAGATTCTAATAAGTTAACGGAGGCTTTGAACAAACCACAGAACAGGGACAACTATGGACAAACAACGAGACTTTTACACACATTCTTGGTACTTGAAGAACTCATAAAAATCTGACTTAAGTACATGAATTTGAAAATGATGAGCGAGTCATCGAAACGTCATTCAAAAGTATTATCGCTAAGTTTTATTCTTAATTGATTGAGAAGATAGTTCAAATAATCAAGACAATGTTTGACCACATTTCCAGACGTCTCGAATGTCGTCCAAAATGTCCCGTTGCATGTCATCTTTTCAAATCCCTTCTCGGTGAATTTAGAAATGTGATGAAAAACTGTCTCTCATGTGTTGTATACCAAATAATTCTGAAAATAAGCACTGGAAAGACTGCTTTGGTGAACTTACTTTCGAAAGGCTTATTACCGAGGAATTTTGCGTTCGAACATACATTGAATATTATATATTTTCGGTGATACTGCATATGAAGAAATTTAGCGATTAAGTATTGCGTATTGTGAAATTCTCCAAACATGACACATGAAACAAGACAAGTTCTGCCGTCATTGAAGTCTCTTAAAGCGTACCTTAACAACAGTAAAATTACGAAACAAGTTCTGCAGTTGGGACTCGATAATTGGAAGAAATTACATCTTTCAATTCTCTATAAATATAAGCTTTGGCAGTCTTTATTCGCGAGGATTTAAAATCGGTAGCAAGTTTGCGTCTCAGATTTTGTCACTTAGTGTATGGGGGGTGGGGGCTCATCGGAAGTTTACTGTATTAGTTGATGTGCATTCACCTTTTAGGGGTGTAAGGAGAAGTTTAACCGTCAACCTTTCCTCGGCGTGCGCATACCGTTGAACAAGGCTCGGGGGGACGAGTATGCGAGACACTGCATTCTCAAATTCATACCCTCTGTTGGTAGTCACAGTCTCTTTACTTTCACCCACCCCTTTGACAAATTAACTACGGCATAGGTCGAAGCTGGAAGCTAAGTTTCGTCAAGTTTTTTCTTACACTTAGCTTGAACTTGGTCAATAGGCTGAAATTTCTTGAGCTTATTTCCACGTCTAAAGCTGGCCAAGCTCGACATTACGCATCATACTGCTCTTACCCCCGAGGGGAGAGGGGGGGGGGGGGCGCCCATAAAAAAAGAATGGGGGTGCTCATCTTACGTTTTAGGGGTTAAAAAAGCGGGTTTGGGTATTGAGTCGAAAAAATACGACAAGGGATAACGTCTTGTTTTAGAACAAGTACTTAGGGGTGAAAAAAAATCTCGAGCCACGCCCACAAAACAGGATCTTGTTACCTCTTAGGGTCGATTCTTGTCAGCTGATTTAATTTCTACATGGTTATTAGACCTCCTCTCCGGATTTAAGGATTTAAGCTCTCCCAGTTTCGAACTCAGGGGCCCGTTTCTCGAAGGTCCCGAAAAGCCGTAGCAAAATCTCTAACCTTGTGGTACAGAGCTGTTTTATGCACATATTCTTAATATGAACAGAGGTTCCTTTCATACAAGACGTTTCAGGAGTATACACCTCCGCGTCTTTAACTTTCGAAAAACGGGCCCCAGGTACGAAGTTCTGAACACTGAAGGCTCATAACCAGCGGTTTCCAACAAGTGGAAAATATCTCGTGATGGTTTGTGTTCGCATTTCAAATACAGTTAACAGTTTGATAGCTTCCGTTCAAACTTTAATATGTACCTTACATAATTATATTACTGTTTACAAGCTTCTTTACATAATTTTCAATAATTACGATTCAATTTTGGAAGAAATACATAATTTAACTTTTTTTGAAAATTCTCTTCGAGGATTTCATTTATGTTGCTGTCGCGGAAAAATATTTTTTGGCGAGGGTGCTGTACAAATAAACAGTCAGACATCAGATCATCGAAAATCAAAACCCTGACCATACCTTAACGATATGACGTCAAAAAATAGTTCTGTAGTCGTGAAATGAAGTCAATCTTGAACCTTTCTGCTTCAAATCCAGTTGGGGTTCATAATGGGATCAGTCTCAAAGTGAAATCCAAAATAGCAGTCAACAGGAGCCCATCAGTAGGAGCGTGCAACTACCCCATATTCCTGTCACGGCGTTTTCACAGATCGATCTATTTTTGGTTTGAATTTACCGCGAATTCACACCCTCGCAGGAACCTCAGTGACCAATCACAAGCACGGAATTAATTTTTAACTGACGTCATGATTTCAGTGGTGAGGTAAGCCATTTTTCTCCTTACCGATGCGCACTCATGTAGACCGGAACTGACCTATTTCGCGGGAAAAGAAGCCTAAAAATAAACCGGTCTGCAAAACTGCCGTGACATGGGCGTAATATGGGAGTTGCACGTTCCTAGTGAAGGGCTTCTGCAGTCAATAAATTACGTCTAGGACGTGACAGCTTATTGCCGTCAGAGTCTTCAAGACCCTGGGGGGTGTACTCCCTATAAAGGCCTATACGGGGAGGCTCTGCCCAGAAGGGGGGGTTTAGGTATCTAAAAGGGTAGGGAATTCACAAGTCGAGGTATATGAAAGGGTAGGGAAATCTGTCCTTTAGTTTATTTTTTAAGGGCCTTTTATTAAAATATTTCGAACAGACGCACCTTATGGCTGTATCACTTAACTTCTTAGTAACACGGGTCGGTTATGAAAGCATGTGAAAGGGGTACCCAGGTATACGAAAGGGGTACGGGGTTGGACCTCGGGGCGTGGCCTCCCCGTATGACACTTTGTAGGGTACCCACCCCGGGTTTCAAGGAAGATATATTCAGTGCCTGGTATAGGGGTGACGGACTGCAAATTACCAGTTAAATTGTCGGCGATTGTTCAGCTAAGAGTAAAAATTTCAGCCCACGACTCAGCCATCATTAAGGTTGTTTACCATTTACACGGAGAAACCGGTTCGTCAACGGTTGTCAAAATGGTAAGCAAAAATGCCTGATGGTAAGTTCCGTTCGGATTGGCCATTTACTATTTACTCAAAAAAACCCAGTTAACCGAACGAGACTAGGGCAGGTTCGACCTCCAAGATGGCGTTGAAGAACTGCAAATGGTAAGCATTTTCCACTCGGATATTTCGATTGGAAATCTTGGACTACTTTTCAAGACGTTCCGTTGAATTCGAAAATGTTTCGGTCGGTCGAGCTAAAATGTCTTACCATTTACGTTCTGACCGAAATTTTCGGAATTTTTCGGTAAATGGTAACAACCTAAAAGTTTCAGTTTTCAGATCTCAGCTGTCAGTTTGTGACCAATTCTCAACAATCAGTTAAAGGAACTCAGTCACGGTATTCTGGGTTATTTTGGCCACGTACAAAATTACCTTTAAATTGAAGGAAACCTGAAAATAATATTTTATCAAGATAGAAAAACACCAAAGAGATAATAACAAACCATAAAGGAACAAGGATGGTTAAGGATGGAGAAGATTGACACGGATTATAAACGACGAACTTGAAAACTTTAGGCTGAACTTTTCAAGATGTGCAAACCGCGACGTAGCTCCTTTAATCCCGATCTAGATCTCGTGTTGCTAAGTACGGTAGTCAGTAGTGCGATAACCTCCTTCCATGACAGACTACAGCGAAAAAAATGTACCACTCATAAATAACTTAATCTTGAATTTCGCGTCAAGTAGATTCAGTCTTTTTCTCTAAAGAAGGGTACGCGGTTGTAAGAGGTATTCAGGCATCAAGGTCATCAAGACAGTTCAATTCCTTCTCCTTGACTCTGCAGGAAAGCGTCCTGGAGAAACTTTGGAGTTGGTAACATTGGGCCTAGCAAAGAACAAAAAAAAAAAACTCGTGGATGAAGACACTGCATGCACACAATGGCTGCATACAGAAAATTAAACTTTGGCTAAATTTAATCTGTTGTTGTTGTTGTTGTTGTTGAAAACCAAAATTATAACTTTACTGCAAAGATCGTTAGAAAGTCCAATCCGAATAAGATCTCTTTCTAAAACAGTTTAAAGCTGTGGTCAAACGGTGCATGTCAGTCCATCGTAATCGATTCTCCCCTGACTATCAACAACTATCATACGCGTTGGTCAAACGGGAATACGATAATCTATTATCATGAAGAATTTGATCAAGCTCAAAGATGCTTTATGATAGTCGATGATAGTGCATGATAATTGGTGGTCAAACGGAAGCGCGTGTTACAACTACCATCAACTATTATCAACTGCCCTGCGCCGTTTGACTTTCGAAACTGACTTCACGAAAACAAAAGGGGAATGTAAGGTAACGTGGTATGCTACTGAGAGTGTCTTTCTGGTGCCTTACTCTGCAATATTGAAAAAGAAAACCGCAATTTATGCGGTAGGAAACCGTACCTTCTGTGTAATGTTTACGGCAATTTATTGGCGCAGATTCCTGTGTCATCAAAATCTGTAAACCAGTAAGATCAATTTGCTCTGGGTAACACACAATATAATTACAAGGTCTATTACTTAGCACCCTGGGTATCACAAATTTATTTTGTTCCCTTGTTTGTCCACGAGGGTATAACTGTTTTGCCGCTAACAGCTATTAATTAGCTTCCACAAAAAGGGAAGCGAGTCACCATAAGGTCAGAAAGAATTAGGAAAGGAGATGTTTGATTCTGCATGCAAAACTGAATGGATACGAGTTTTCAAAGTTACGGCCACAATTCGTAACATCCGTACGAACAGTGAAAGCAGCCGTCGATTTGCCCCAGTAGGTTCATTAGTTCCAATCGTCAAACTGTTTTATCCCCCAGCATCTCAGCCTGAAACACGAAAATATTCCAAGTCCCGCTAATGACATGCATGTTGCGGGGCGTCAATGGATCGTGGACTGCATTCACCATTTGTAACGATGGTATAAGGATCGTATCGCTACCTTAACGAATCGTACCCTTATACACCTGGGTGGACAATGGAGCACTGAGATAGTTAGGTTCCTGGCTGAAGGCGAAAACACAATGACTCCTCAGTCGGAAGAAATATTAATATCAATTTCTCCTTAGAGATACAGAAAACACTGTCGCCTAGACAGTAATGAGAGTAAGGAGACTCCTCAAGGAGATATTGCGTTGATGTGCCTCGACTACTAACATTAAAAGAAATGGGTGTTATTAAATGTATTATTATCTCACCACACATTGAATGAAAAGCTCACCTTGAAGCAAGACGAAGCAAAAAATGAACGAAGATCACTGTCAACAACATTTTCAATAAATCGGCGTAGGGGAAGAATGTGTGAGCTGGGTGCAGTCCTGAAGAAAAACAACTCAAATAAAGGCTTTATTGCTTCCAACAAAAAAGAAAAGAGCAAAAACCAAACTAATGGCAACAACAGAAGCAGAAACAGGAATAATCCAGGGTTTGAGACTATTAGTGTACACACACTTTTTAATTCGTGTTTGGCTAGCAGGCAGCAATGTTGGGTTGTGAACATCCATCTCACAAGGACACGAAGTTTATCCTTATCAATATTGCATATTCCAAAGGTTAAAATGACTTCTATCCCCTCCCCCNCCCCCCCCACAATTTCCCTTTGTCGACCCTCTAAAGCCACGCTTGACAGTTGTAGCAAGCAAAAATTTGTTTTGCACAGTGAATTCTAATCTGCTAGTAAGCTAAACAGGTTTGTCTAATGAGCCCTTGCAATCACAGTACCAGCAGCAGCAACAGCCGCAGCAACAACAAAAACATCAAAAACAAATGTAAAATTTGTCAGAACTGGCATTTGCGTTCTAGACTATTCACAGCCTCTCTATTCACGCACGCGAAAGAAAAAGCAAGCGAGGCGCGCGGGAGTGGGGATGGGGTTTGCCAGCGAAGCGAGCAAGAAGAATCTCGGTCCCTACTCCCTACCCAGTCCGTTTTGCGCTGGCGTTCAGTTCTCTCGCGATTCTATCCGCGCGTTCAACGATCGAATAAAAATACGAGAAAATAGAGGGCTGTAAACAGTCTATGTGCGTTCTGAATTTTTTTGTTGCAACCATAAACAACTTTAGTTTGAGCTTACCATAGTGTTAAGAAATCTTCCACAATGTGGTGCATGCGATTTGGTCTGGGAAGAACAACTTCTTTTGTTTCCTTGGGCAAGGCTGAAGAACAAGAAAATAAATTATTAGGTTGCTTGAAATTTCAACGAAATCTAGTGAAGTTTGAGAAAGGATGGGAAGGAAAAGAGAAGAGACGAGATTAGAAGAGAAGGGAAAGGAAGCGAAGGCAAGAGAAGAGAAAAGAGGAGAAGAGAAGAAAAAAGAAAAGAGAAGAGAAGAAAAGAGACGAGGCGAGACGAGACGAGACGAGGAGGCAAGGCAAGATAACGACGAGACAAGAAAAGAGAAAAGAGGAGAAGAAAAAAGACAAGAGAGCTGGGGGGTAGGGAAGTAATATGAGAGAAGAGTAGAAAAGGTGAAAGGGCTTCATTGAAAAGGAGAAATAAATAAGTTTTACGATATACACTGAAGTTGATGGACACTAAAAAACTACCCTAGATTGCAAATCCCTTGCTGAAGTGAAATTGAACAGCTTGCTACATTACCTGTAGGAGGTTCTTTGTAGAAGTAAAGCACAGGATGCAAGAAGTTTGACTTATGAGCCTCTCCTGGTTCTCCTGTGGCACGATCTGGCTTAAATGTGTCCTTTCTACGAATCGCAACACAAACAGTGTTACACAAGAAGAATGATTCCAAAGTAAGACACAGAAACCAAAATATCTAATTTCCTTTCAGCTAAAGGAAGTACCAATGCAATAGTAATAGCCTCTGAATTAAAGTGCTAGGTGTTGAAATCATGTTAAAAGGTTACCAAAGAATGCAGTGGAACCCTTTCAATATGCCCAACCTGGGGTTATAAGACTGTAGAGTAAATTCTTTATAGTCTTCGAGGTATCACCGCGTTCTGTAGACCATTCTATACGTAATAAGTGTAACAAATTTGTTTCTAAGTTTGAAACCTCTCTTTACTTCTCACTTACCCAGCTCCAGAGAAATCCTTGCCATATTCCATATTAAGTACAATCATTGGACCTGCTGGACGGCCAGTGAACTCTATAAACAGAATAAATAAATCTTATTATTTAAAAATGAACGTTACACTTATTTCCCAGGGGTGGTGTATAAAAGGCTGTGACTTTGAAACAACTCCACAACATACCTAAATCTTACCATTTATTAAGAATACAGTTGGTGGTGGAACACTCCCTAGAGGTGCAAGTCATTAGAAATTAAGGGGTGGAGTTGCTGGTAGTCTGCATAGCAAGCAATCCCTGGTTAGCAAAGAGTTCAAGCATCCTACAACCAGGCGCAAAGTGGTCAAGAAAATTCTGTAAGAACACTTTGTGAAGAATCAACACTAGAGCATGTATGGCCTGTACGTGATGATAACAGTGACAAAACAAATACCTTCAAATTGATGTACCAGTCTAATAGGAAACTCTTCATAGTATTCTACATTTCCATTTTCACCTGAAACAAAGACGACAGCAGACAAATAAAAAAATACATCAATGTTTCAGCTAAGGTCCAATTATTCACTGTGTATACCCTCACGTACTAACACTTGCTTTACTCTAAGAATGTTTGAAGCCAACAGTCTATTTGTTTTTTGTTACAGACAGGAACGAGTGAGATATTGAGTTGAACACTCAAAGATATATTCCATATCCATGCACGCCCATGTATTATCCTCCATTTAAAATATGCTCCGTTGTGACAATTATAATTTGTTATTTAGTTCTGAGATTTGATACATACTACCGAGAAATTTTTCATAAGAGTGAAAAAAAAAAAAGAAAAATTCAACCAGAAAATAAAAGTCAAATTCATTTATACTCACGTAAAATCATGACTTCTCCAAGGACACCAAACATTTGATAAATACCCTGTGATGTGAATACTTAGTTAGTCATATCATACACATTAAACAATTAAGCAATAGATTGTTGCTCGATCTGATGGCAAAAATATTAGGAGAAATTCATCTGAAATATTTCAAACTGCCCAATTTTTCGAGCCAGTTGCTGTTCCCCTATGCATGGATGATGAATTTATAGTTATTTTTTACTTAAATTATATTAAAAGTAGTTATATGAAAACTAACCGAGGCTTCATTAATCCTTTTGATTATCACATTTATAACTTCTGCAATAGGGACTGTTATGTGAGGCCATGTTACTTTATGGTTACGCCACTCCAAAACACGATGAAGGGTACGGGCTGAAAAAATAAAATACACAAAAAAATCAAAGCAATATATTGTCAAAAACTGAATAACATTTATTTTTTAATGAGTAATAAAGTGATAAGAACAACTACTTTTAGATCAGTGAGGACTCAATGCAGTGAAAAACTAAATACATAGGGTGATCACCCCCTCTCCTACAACATTGCCATTCTTATTTGAAATGGAACATTGTCAAATACTTTTTTGCTGTTATTGTTTTTGTTCTTTGTAGTAAGACTATCCTTGATGCAAGCTGTCTTATTTATGTTTTTTTTCTCAACTATTAATTCACTTTACTTACTTCATTTACAACTTAGAATAAAACAACAGCAACAACAACAACAAAACAGACAAATACCAGTGTAACGATAACCATGAATGAATCCTCCTGCAGACTTGCGGAAGTCCACTGAGTGGGTGTTTGTACCAGCTGTGAAACAGGCAGTAAAAATATGAATTCAAAACTGTGGTTCTACTACAGTGTACTGAAGATTGCAGATACAATATCCATCCTTTAATTCCAGGCAATTAATGATACAAGAATTATTTACACCCAGAGATACATCACATTTCTGAGGTCGGGTCGAGTTAAAGAGTACTCAAGGTAATTTAGGGAACTGAAACTTAACCAGCCTAGGGAACTGAGGACTGAGACAACAAACCCTGGCAAGACAAAAATTCATTTTTTTTCAATCAAGATCCAAAAGTGCATTCACGCAATGAGTAGGCAGGGACTGAACAGAGAGAGGGGTGGGGGTGGGGTGGGGTGGGCATTTACTTGAGGGATGACAGTTACATGAGACCATAGAAACTGTAGTGACCGGCTGCTCAAAATATATCTTCTCCTTATTCTTCATATAATGTTTACAAAGCATTACTCAGTCCAGTAATTTTTATGTCAGCTCTTAAAAAAAACTTGGTCTAAGCTACATTTCACTAAGAAGTCAATATCATGGGTGGACAATTTTCTTTATTCTTGTCACCAGGTCTGAATGAAAGTATTCACATAATATTGTAAAGGAAGATGATGATGGCAATTGAATTCTGAGAGTTCCTGAGCATTAGGATGGTGGTGATATAGGTGGGTCACGGGGCATGTTCCTCCAGAAAACGAGGAATGGGGGGGGGNTTGAAATCTCTTCGACTGGATCCATCCTAGGGGGGTTAAAAAGACAATCAGTGATGTGCAAATGGTTCAACTTACCAAAATAGAGTCTGGGTATTGATGTAGATTCATAGCTTGGTTTGACAGCTGGGTATTTTTTGGAACGTTTCCCTTTAGCCGGTCTTGGTTTAGTTGTGTTGTCAAATATCGAGAAGTCGAACTAAGCACAACAAAAGAGCACATTTACACTTTTTAATAACAAATTGAATTAATTTTTGTTCTCACACTGTTTGAGTACTATTATTTAGTAATATATTTATTACGAACTTTTCAATATTAATAATTTTTACTGTACTTCAGTAATATTGTTTTGCTATTTGTCTCAGGCTCACAGGTGGTTACATATAACTGAGAATCACACTGCAACATTTAATTTAAATAATGTAAGTATTTATTACCTGGACTTCAATAATAATAATAATAATAATCAAAGCCAAATGTACCTTAAAACCCAAACATCGAATGATGCGATCATATGGCTCTCGCACAGCAAAATTGTCAGCTGGTAAGAGAAGAGATTATAAAATTAATGGTAAGATAGACATGCACTTGTAATAAGCTGACCATGTAGAACTTTTTCAAAAAAATTGTCAGGTCCAGGTGTCAAACTACAACCTACAGACATGAAC